CAGGGCTGAGTTTCTTAGAAATTTACCAATTACATTTTTGCTAACTAAAAATAAAGATGTTCTAACATTTGAATAGTTGTATGACTTCAAATACATAACAGCACATACATAACACATAATAATAGGTTGTTATTCAGTTGCTCAGTTGAGTATTTGAATAGTTGCATGACTTCAAATGCATAATAGCATATACCTAACACATAATACATAATGGATGTCAAATATGGCAGAATTTATAAGTGCTAAAAAAAAAAAAGTCACCTGCATAGGTAAGTTTTTGTTCCAAATATATGCAAATGTTTGGTTTTATTCTTGATTAAATTTTATAAGACATTAATTTAAACTTCCCAAAACCGAAGTCCATCTCATTTAAAGTCACCACAGTTGAAAAATGTCCCAGTTAGAGTATTAATAGATAAGTTAACCTGTCACAATGAAGAGAAGTTTTTTCCTTCCTTAAAATAGCACAAAACCAAAATGCAAACTCCTTGCTGATGAAACATTAAATAGCTCCCACTAGCAGTAGAAATCAGCCATATTAAGGGCCAGATTACAATATTCAACTATAGGTAACTTTTTTCCTCTAGCACATTGGTTGTTATAAGCAGAAATGAAGCAATCTAGTTTTAAACTAGTTTAAACTAAAACTTTAAATGTATGAAGTCTCAGTTCTTATTCAAGTTATTATATAATCATTATGCATTTCTACTTTAAAAATAGGCCAAATATGTATAAAAATGAAAGAAAATCTTTGTTCAAATGAATATGAAAATTTTCCATTCTCTGTCAGAAGACTTTGTTTATATTTTGGCTCTTCTCTGTGCCACTTTGACCCTATAAAAACTCTAAACTGAGAAAGTTATGGAAAAAAGCCTTAGTATAATGTAATGACCAAAACATTTCTATCAGAGAGAAAACTAAGAAACATGGCAGGGCAGATCTTTGTAGGCAACTTAGATTTTTTAAAGGGTAGTTATTCTCACTTACTGATAAAAGGGTGAACACCCCATATTCTCTTTCTGGGTCTGACTGAACCAGTCTATTTAATCAACATCCAATGCACACATAACTGTACAGTTTTTGTGGGTTTTTTTTAGATTAAGCTACAGTCTAAGTATTACTGAGGATAACCTGATGTATAATTTCTAACATAAAAAAATAAAATATTAGTACAGAAAACAGATTTGATACTAAGTAAGAGTTCTAAGCAGAAAGCTATAAATGCTAACTTGAGGACTTTTAAAGATTAAATGATTATTAAATATCATATCTTAAAGAATGTCTTTGGCTAAAAAACAATGTTCCAGATAGACACAAAAGTAATCAAAGCAGACTAAAAATTAGAATTCTATTATGCTGCTTTCACATACCAACATGCAGGGAAAAACACTGGAAATATATATATATCAAATGTTAACAGTGTTTTCTTTAATAAGTTTTTGGTCTTAACAATTGTTCATCTATATTTTCTAGAAACACTGCATGGAATATATTCTCTTAAGTGAGAGAAATGTTAAGGGATACAGTAAATTAAAAAGATGGACAGAAAATCTGGTAGTTGAAGAAAAAAGCATGAAGAAGTATGATTTAATCTGAACTTCGATGAACAAGTGAAAGTTTTTCTGGGTGCAGGGAACAGCATAAATGGCACATAGGTGGAAAACAACAGCAGAGTTCATGCTGCTGGCTTATGGACTGGATCAGGATTAAGTGTGAGATCAGACTGCAAAAAGTTGGTTTGGATTCAGGTTATGGGTCGTCTTCAAAGCCATGCTAAGGACTCTACTTTGACTGGAGTGACAAAGGGGCGGGGGCAGACAATACTGACAGCCTGTGAGAAAGGGACTCACATGAGTATAGAAATTTGGAGGGGATCTCCTTCTGGTAGCTTATGATGCTAACTGAAAGCAGGGAAATGTCTCAGAAAGTTTTTGCAAAGTTCCCTTGAGAGGTTCTAAAAAGAGTTAGGTTAGGCAACAAGAGATCTGAAGGCTTTTCAGAGCTAAAATTACAAGGAATTGCTACTGACTGGCTCTGAAGACATGTGGTGAGATGGGCTCTAGGAAGACTACCAGGGTTTAACAGCTCGCTGTGCAGAAGAGGCGTCAACTGTCAGAGCCTGACGTCAGCCCACTAGTTAAAACCTGCCCTGTACGCAGGGCAGAAAATATAAAGCTAAGGACAAAATTCTGGAGGATTTCTTATTTCAGGGGCAAGAGGAGAAAGACAAGCCCTTGAGAAAGCAGAGGAAAGTTCAGATACAACCAAGATGTTTCCTTTCACAGGAGACAAGAAGAGGAGAATATTTCAAATGGGAAATAAAGGGCAGCACGGTCAAGATGCTCCCAGGGGACAAGGAAAGAACGTTGAGGGTTTTAGCTTCACTCCTGCCTCTCTGGCCCACTCCCAGCCTTTGAAGCTGTAACACTTGTCCCCAAAATATCCCCTATACAAATGAATGTGAGAGAGGAGAGAAAGAATAAAACAACAAAAACCTGCCCTGAGATTTACTTAGCTGAGAAACAGTGCATCTTAAACCTAGAAGGACTTCAAAGTCAGTTATGCAAACTTTCATCTCATATACAAAAAAAAAATGTAAGGCTGCCCCCAGACTATATGACTTGCTCAGGGCCCCAAAATCTCAGTCCTCCTGGAACATACCTTAGTGCTTGTCGAGTCCACATCTCCACTGATACCAATCTTAGCTAATTTCCTCTAAGAGGGTTAGAACCACAGAAAACATCACTGAATTTATGAGGTGGAATTCTGAGTCATTCTCTTTTAAGTATTTTTTCTGGATCTAAAGTCTTCTTTTCCTTGAAGTAGGCTTATCTTTAGTAAAGACTTCCTCCTTCTCCATCATCATTAGTATCCAGGTTTTATTTTTATTTGTTTTGCTTGTTTTACAGTTCACAGGTAAAAATGAACATTGGAAATAATATTTTTCTTTAAAAGCTAAATAGATAAGAAAGAATATCAGGAAGGAAAAAATGGGGCAGTGGGTGAGTACACATCAAAAACATCTAACACAGAACGAGCTGAACTATGAGAAGTGAAACATGAAGGAAGACAGCAGAAAAGAGTATCCTTAAGTGTTGCATCATCAAAAAAGCAAGAGAGTTCCAGAAAAACATATATTTCTGCTTTATTGACTATGCCAAAGCCTTTGTGGATCACAATAAACTGTGGAAAATTCTGAAAGAGATGGGCATACCACACCACCTGACCTGCCTCTTGAGAAACCTATATGCAGGTCAGGAAGCAACAATTAGAACTGGACATGGAACAACAGACTGGTTCCAAATAGGGAAAGGAATGCGTCAAGGCTGTATATTGTCACCCTGCTTATTTAACTTATATGCAGAGTACATCATGAGAAACGCTGGGCTGGAAGATGCACAAGCTGGTATTAAAATTGTCAGGAGAAATATCAGTAACCTCAGATATTCAGATGATACCACCCTTATGGCCGAAAGTGAAGAGGAACTAAAAAGCCTCTTGATGAAAGTGAAAGAGGAGAGTGAAAAAGTTGTCTTAAAGCTCAACATTCAGAAAACTAAGATCATGGCATCTGGTCCCATCACTTCATGGCAAATAGATGGGGAAACAGTGGAAACAGTGTCAGACTTTATTTTTGGGGGCTCCAAAATCACTGAAGATGATGATTGTAGCCATGAAATTAAGACGCTTACTCCTTGGAAGGAAAGTTATGACCAACCTAGATAGCATATTTAAAAACAGAGACATTACTTTGCCGACAAAGGTGCATCTAGTCAAGGCTAAGGTTTTTTCAGTGGTCATGTATGATGTGAGAGTTGGACTGTGAAGAAAGCTGAGCGCCGAAAAATTGATGCTTTTGAACTATGGTGTTGGAGAAGACTCTTGAGAGTCCCTTGGACTGCAAGGAGGTCCAACCAGTCCATCCTAAAGGAGATAAGTCCTGGGTGTTCATTGGAAGGACTGATGCTGAAGCTGAAACTCTAATACTTTGGCCACCTCATGGGAAGAGTTGACTCATTGGAAAAGACCCTGATGCTGGGAGGGATTGGGGGCAGGAGGAGAAGGGGACGACAGAGGATGAGATGGCTATATGGCATCACCGACTCGATGGGCATGAGTTTGAGTAAACTCCGGGAGTTTGTGATGGACAGGGAGGCATGGTGTGCTGCGATTCATGAGGTCACAAAGAGTCGGACACGACTGAGCAACTGAACTGAACTGAACTGAAGGGCTCTCTATTTTCTCCTGTTTCATGAAGGAAAAGATACAAGAAGCTGGCTGAGAAGATCACAGGGTCACAGTGTCCCCAGCAGTCAGCAGGGAGGGCCCTGTATGCAGGACTGCGGAAATGATATCCAGAGAAAAGGGTTGGATGGAAGCTGGAAGCAGTCTCCATGTGAGTTGGAGGAAAAAAAAACAAATAGCGTGCAAACAGTCACTCTTATACAACTTATACAACAGTCACTCTTATAAAACTGACAAGGATGTAATTAATTTCGAGAGCAGCTGTTTTGAGGAAACTGGCGTGATATGGGGCTTCCCAGGTGGTGCTAGTGGTAAAGAGTCTGCCTGCCCAGTGCAGGAGACACAAGAGACAATCCATGGGTCGAGAAGATCCCCTGGAGGAGGAAATGGCAACCCACTCCAGATTCTTGCCCGGAGAATTCCATGGACAGAGGAGCAGAGGAACCCTATACAGTCCATAGGGTCACAAAGAGTCAGACAAGACTGAAGCGACTTAGCACGCAAGGTGATATTATGTTATGGACCGAGGGTTTGTGTTCCATCAAAATGTGTCTGTTAAAGCTCTAACCATCGTTGTGGCTGTATCTGGAGATGGGAGCTTCCAGGAAGTAATATGTTTAAAGTGCTCCTAAGAATGAGGCCCCCGGCCAGACCTGACTGCCTTCGGCAACACGTGCCTATTCACCAGGCTGCACTCCACCTCAGACCACACTGCCTGCACTCCACGGGCGCCTTCACCTATGCCCCTGCTCGTCATGTCAGTACCCTCCACGTCAGCAGGTCGGCCTTGCAAGATCACACGTACCTACCCTCCCCGGCCTAGTCACAGGCACGGGACACCCCTTCCCGGGCAGTTCGCCATCCAACCACCGGCACTAGGGCGCATCCACCAGCTCCTACCAGTTCTCCAGGATGGGCCACGCATCCCGCCGTCCTGCACCAACGCAACGCCTCCACCGACTCTGCTGCTCAACTTCAGCCTTCTGAACCACAGTGACGTGATGGAAGCCAGGCCGACTACAGCTCCAGCAGCCCCCATACCTACAGTGCGTAAGCGCGCCTTGCGCCTTTTTAGTGTAACCGCCTTTCTGAGGCTGCGCATGCGCCCACCCCCGCCCCGTCCTGGTCGCTCAGGCGGTGCAGCTGGACTTCACCCCGTAAGCACCTCCTTTCCTGTCCAGCTTTTTGCTCTGGGAAAACCCGCGTGGACTCGCGGCCCGTAGCCTGGGAGGAGAGTATCCCTGTGAACCGTGATGCTGGATCTCGATCCCGTCTAGAACCTCCAGCCGCCTGAGCTTCTGAGGTCTCTGCAGTTTGCAATTGCTCTTGGTCCAGCTCAGATTTTTCAGACCTGATGCAACTTAAGGGTGTCCGCTTCACCACCACGTGGACACATTCTGAGGCAAACCGGAAGACTGCCAGAGGGAAACTGTGCTTCTGATTTAGCAATGATGTGAAGGAAAGAAAAAAAAGAAAGAAAGGGGTCATGACCTTATAGGATTAGTGTCCTTGTAAGATAGGCCAAAGAGCTTGCTCTCTTTTCTTGCAGACACAAAGAGGTCATGTGAGCACAGTAAGAAGGCAATCACCTGCAACCCAAGAGGGGAGCTCCTACCAGACACCTTAGTCAACCCTACCAACACCTTGATCTTGGACTTCCTGTCTTGAAAACCAAGAGAAAATAAACATATTGTTTAAACAAGTTAGTCTGTAGTATTTTGTTATGGCTGCCCTAGGTGACTAATACAGTTCCTTCTCTGTAAAGTGAGGCAATAGAAGTACCTATCTCATTGGCTAGTGTGAGGAAGAATTGAAATATATGTGTAAAGTGCTTGTACATAACTAAGTAGTCATAAATATTAATTAAAAATAATAAAGGAATAAGGTTTTTTTCACCTACCATGATTATGGGTAAAATAAACCACCTTGAGCTGTAAAATAATTGTGATGTCACTTTTAGCATTCCTAGGTTATATCGCATTTGGTAACAAAAGTCTGAATTTATAAATTAATTTCTAGTAATATTATAGAAGGCTCAGAAGTTGAAAGCTCCAAAGAGGCTGAATTTGAATACCTTCATCATATCATAGTGTCACAGAGTGAATAGCTTTTATTCTTGCTTTTATTATTGTTGTTGTTCAGTTGCTAAGTTGTGTCCAACTCTTTGTGACCCCACGGACTGCAGCATGCCAGCCTTGCCTGTCCTTCAGTATCTCCCGGAGTTTGCTCAAACTCATATCCATTGAGTTGGTGATTCTATCCAACCATCTCATCCTCTGTTGCCCCCTTCTCCTCCTGCCCTCAATCTTTCCCAGCATCAGGGTCTTTCCCAATGAGTAGACTCTTTGCCTCAGGTGGCCAAAGTATTGGAGCTTCAGCATTAGTCCTTCCAATGAATATTCAGGGTTGATTTCCTTTAGGACTGACTGATTTGATCTCCTTGCAGTCCAAGGGACTCTCAAGAGTCTTCTCCAGCACCACAATTTGATGGCATCACAATTCTGACTCTTACTTCAATGAATTCTAACAGTCTCAGACCTTGAGACAGTCCTTATGATATCATCACACCACAATGAAGCCCTGAAGTCTACCTTAGTATTTGCTGTAGTTCAGGCATTTCTCTACCTCTTTTATGTAGTTATCTGATAAATAGCTATGCCTATGACTTGTGGTCGTTTAAAAATATATTTCACCTTTAGTCAATTTCCTTTTGTAATCTTCAGATTAAAGAAAAAATTGAATCTGCTTATTTTTGCACAGCACTGTCCTGTCCTCCTGGAGTTGTCAAAAATCATGTGCATGTTAAAAAGCATGGACTCACTTTAATCTTCTTTCTTCCCACATGTCTTAGTCAGAAGAGGCTTTATTATAAGGCTAATGAAGACTCAGCACCCTTCAGTTACAAGGCCCCTTCCAAGGATCTGAAAGAAGCTCTGGGAATTCTGTATTCATAATTCTGTATTACATCACTTAAGGAGGGCTTCCAATTGTATACAGTCCCTGAAACCAGGATCAAATCTTGCTGTTGCTATATCTTCCGAACTTTAAAAATCTTTAATATTTAAAGTAACATGCAAAATTTAAAAGCAATTCCAGTTTATAAGAAATCAAGCAAAAAAAAAAGAAAAGAAATCAAGCTATGGAGAGTAGTCTGTAGCAAAATAATTCTGTATATAGCTCTCAGCCTCCAAATCAAACCAAAGCAGGTATTTCTGTGCATATTGATAGATCCCAACTATATTTTAGCACCAGAAGTATTTTATCAAATGCAGTTTTATTTAGTGGAAACTCTCGAGCCTAAGATAGTCAAGAAGAACCTGCTCACTTACCACCCCTTCAACCCAAACACTGAAGCACTGCTAGAGAACAGGATGGATTCTCTCTACACAGCAGATTGAAAATCACTAATCTAGATGGGAATACACAGTGGAAATATGATTGGGGACAGAAAATGGGTGGTCCGTGTGAATTTTTTTTTTTTTTTGCAGCGTGTAAGTGCATTATTGTAGAAAAAGCTATCAAGTAAGACTGTAAGATATTCACCAGTCCCCACAGGACAAACAACCATCTCTTTCATGGGTGAGATACATTTATTTCTAGAGTCATGGGAGCATTGTGCAAGGTGAATTTTCAAGGCTGTTTCTTTTCAGTTGATTCTCAGGTGTCTTAGGATAATACAAGAATAATTTCTTTCAGAGATGTTTATATTCTAAATGGTCAAAGATTAATGTTGATGACTACAAGGTATAGGAAATACATAGAAGCATAGTTCATGTTTTAGCAGGTGAATTCTTTTCTTCCCTCCCCCCCCCATGGGACCTGTGTCTTTTAAAAGGCCTTGAATCCAAATTCAAAACACTCAAGAAAATACCCTTCATGCCCTTCATATCACTGAGACTTTCCTCTAATTACATTTTAAATTTCACTCCCTTTACAAATATTTCATGATGCAAATGAGATTTCAAAGGTATCTTCTTGGTTCTAGCTCTGCTAAACATCCAATGAACTTGATTTTCTTTAGGAAACATTACATTAGTCACATTGCTCTCCTTTTAATGTCACAATGCTCTCCTTTTAAACCATCAATTCTTTAATCATGTCATTTGTACCTTGTTTAATTCTTCTGGTAGTCTTAACCTTCAATCATTCCTCCATTCATTCAGCAAAAATTTATTGTGTCTATCTGCCAGATTCTGAATGAGAAACTAGGAGTACAAAGAGAAATAGAATTAGAACTTGTCCTCAAAAGAACTGGGCTTTAGTGGTCAATGATCATGCTGGTTGATTCATCTCTGGAATCTTCTTATGTAGCTAGGTATTTAATAAATGTATTCTGTTGCCTTGGAGTAACCATCTAAGCAAGATGCATAAACATTGCATTTGGTGGAAATTTCATATTTCCATGAATCCTCAGAAATAGGTTCTATATTTTATTTTCTAATCATTTGCTTCTTTTATATGTGGTTGTTAATCTAATATCTAGGATAAGTTATTTCATTCATACAGATTAACTTGCTACCAGTACGAGATATGTTTCTAATCATGAGCTTACTTAGAAATTACACATACTTATTCAATACTCTATAAATTCCTAACTGGAGAACCAAAATCCTATACAGTAATTCTCCTACATACAAACCATCAAGTTGCAAACTCTCAGAGACAAACGTGTGTTCCATCAGCATTAGGCCTAAGTGAAATTGCAGCTTGCCCTCCATCTCCTATTCCTGACGGTCCTTCAACTCTATTGTTTCCCGAGTCATCTGTCTCCAGGCAAGAGTCAATAACTCTTCTTGCCTGTTCACTTGATGTCAGCCCCTATATTCCAGCTGTTGTACTGTGCTACTGTAATTTTCAAGGTACTGTACTGCAAGATTTAAAATGTTTTCTTTATTTTTTGTGTTTGTTTTTTATGTGCTTGTGTGAAAAGCATTATGAACCTATTACAATACAGTTCTCTATAGCTGATTGTGTTAGCTGGGTACCTAGACTAACTTTCTTGGGTTTAGAAACAAATTGGACTTACAAATGTGCTCTCAGAATAGAACTCATTGTATGTAGGGGACTTAATGTAGTTACACAGGAAATGCTGATTGTATTATCACTTAGTATTTATAGGATTAGCCAAGAATTAGTAAAATGCCTTCTAAGCAAGAATTAGGAATAATGTATTTGGGGGATCCTGCTTGAATTATTGTGAATTAATTCAGTGTTGGGGCCCCAGATCCTGAGCATCTCATTGATTTCCTTTCTTCCACACTAATATTTGCATCACTGATTACACCTCCAAAGGGGATTCCTTCTGGTAATTGAGCCTCTCATCTATTAACACCTCATACTTTCTTTTATTTAAAGCATTCTTAAGTTCAAAAATGTTTTTAGCCAACCAAGCCTAGGGGTCATCTCCTACTAGCTTCTTCGCTAACCTAGAAGGGAAGGAAACAGTAGAGGAGCCTTATTCATCTGTTTTGAAAACACTTGGTCTGGGGAGAAAACCCACTTTCTATTTATTTGACCTGATGGCCCCCACTTTTACTCTTATCTGCCTACACTCCATATACTTTCTGATTTACCTGAGTGTAGCCTGTCGTGGTTACCAGTGACTGATATTATTAAATATACAAAATCATTTTACCAGATGATAAAAGAAGCTACAGTGTCTAAAAATTTCATATATCTAACGTGTTGTATAAACAGCCTAAATCCCCATACATTTTATAACTTCAGCAGTCTAAAGGTTAAAGCCTGTCAGTTGAATTTCATGAATTCCAGGAAGAAATGGGGAAGTAGCACCAACTCTTCATTGTATACCAGTGATCAAACATCTCCTCATTACACTTCAATATTGTTGCCTCTAAAGGTCACCATTGCTGAACATAATCACACAAAATCAAAACTGCAAACTTTATATATCATGGAGGTAGTAAATAGCTTGGAGGTTTATTTTCTGGTGCCTGAACAACATTCTGAACCCATTTATAAATTCTTGGGAACTGTGGCAGGAACCAAACATATTTGCAATGCTTGACAATAGCTCCAATTAGATCAATTTCATATAAAAATATTTTTTCAGTCATTTCAGGTGAAAAACACAACTTCTATTCATTAAGTAGAAAACATCTTTTTAATTGGTCTGTCTAAAATGGGTTTTTCCTCCCCTCCCCTTGTCTTCTTGTGAAAACAAATTTGATTATTATTTATAAAGCACCTTCAGGATGGAATG